AGGCGAAGGAGAAAAGGAAGAGTCGTGTCGCGACCTTGTGTCCGAGTTCCGCATTACTGAAGCGCGACTGATCTCTCGAATCCGCTTGTTCCTCGACAATTTCGGATCGACCTATAATTTTCCTATTTTCCAAACAATGTCCAAACCATCATGTCCCAGCAAATTAGAATTCAAACAAGAATTTCTATGAATTAATTTACGAAACTGGAGTTGAATATAAATTTCTATCGTTAAACATGCGATACAAAAAGTATTTGAAGCTTCTGTAACATGGTTTGCATCGAGATGTTTAAACCGCGTTTTATGGGCAGACTGCAAATGAAGGAAGATTACAGTTTATCGATGACCGATTGTTCCTTGACCGGTTGCTCGACCGATGACCGTTACTTTCAGCATTTCCGAGACTCCGGCCAAGATCGTTCCACGATTTCCCATTTGCTCGGCCAGTTTCTAAAAGATTTCTAACTGTTGACCTTTCCTCGATTTTTCCAGACAAATCGTTTCGCGTCGTTCGAACTGTTCCTTGGTCGTTTCCTCTCCAGCTCCATTGTTGTAGATAATGAGCCACAAACAGGACATCGCTGCGGTGGCAGTCCCAGATTGTTGGCAGCTAATTGTCTAGGGAAAAATAATTGCCTGCTTCTGAAAAACCACCGAGTCCTTCTGGCGATTAAACGAACCGTGGCGAATCGGTGCGCGACAGAAATTTTTTATGCAATCGCTGCACGGAGTTTCCTTGTAGTCTCCTTTTGGCAAAATGTTCCGTTTGCAAACTACCTTTTATTGTTGCTCCTCTGTTATTTTTGTATCTTTTGCCGTGTGAAAAGGAACGTTAACCCTTCGCGGACGAATGTCGACATTTCGGCGAGATGAAATGTTGATGTTTCGAAGACTAAGTCGCCGACAAATGATTTAATTACTCAAACGGCAAGAGATCTGCTCGTGGGTTCTGATTTTTCTATTATTTAAGTAATTGGTATATAATTTTGCTTCGTCTGCTGAAGGTTTTGTATGTTTCAAAGAATCTCCGTCTGCAAAGGGTTAAAACAGTTGCTTTTGAAAAAGCGAAAGAGAAATATTGCAATTTAATATTGCAAAGTATACAAAATTTTACTTCAAGGTTAGTTGAAAATTACGTCTCTTTGAACTGTTTTAATATTGTTCTTAACATGATCTACCTAAAAATATTGAACAATTTCACTGATAAAAACAGCAACCTTTTCAGCATCATCAAAAGATTTCGGAGCTCTCAGAAACTTTCTCCCCGATACCTCACAGCTGCAACACCAAACTTCCTCAAGTACCCCCCCAAAAAAATGACAAAAACATTAACCCCTTGCACTCGGAATGCCAGGCCTGCCGGCACAAAGATTTATTCCGACCGCTCGTAATGCCAGCACAGCTGGCACGAGCATTCATTTCGCGCTTCACCCAGGAAATTCTTTTAAACGGTATCACGTTGCCAACGGTTAACAACACATAAAGTTTACACATCTGACATCATCGAATTGCTACCAAAACCTATCGAATCGAGACACCTGCTTTCGTCAATTCTAATTTACAATTTCGCAAACTCATTAATTCACCCCCCAACTTCACAAACTCATCAATCCAAATTCCGAACTGAATCATTCAAATCCAAACCAAGACCACACCAAGACCTAACCAAAACCTATCAAAGCAAGGCACCAACTTCCGTCAATTCTTTCCCAACTCATTCATTAATGCGTTGAATGCCGCACGGTTTAGAGCAAAATACACAAAATGGAAAGAACATACTATTAAATCATTGAATTGCGTTATTATTATTACATGTTCATCTAGCTGAATACCACCGCATCAGGTAGCATTGTCTATAATATAGAAATATCTTCTAATAACCATCGTTTAATTGAGTGAATTATAGTAATTCAATTTGCTTGGCACCGGTGACCCCCATAGCATTCAACGTGTTAACCCTTTGACGAATGTCGATATTTCGATCAGATGAAACGTTCATATTTGGAATACTAAATCGCAAACGAATGACTTAATTACTTGAATAGCAAGTGATCGGTGTATAGTTCCATTTTTACTGTTTAAGCATTCGATGTATAATTTAGCTTCAAATGTTCCAAGCTTTGTGTACTTTAACCCTTAGCAGTCCTATGTCGAGTCCGACTCGACATTCTATTTTATTGCAATCCCTACCCGTTTTACCAATTTTTTCTATATTTATTTGTAGCGTCACAATTGTACCATTTAAAGGTAACATTTCAATGACTCCCAAGTATTCTTGAATAAATAAATAGAGCGTCACATTAACCCTCTATAGGCTCATGTAACTTTGAAGTCACATATCAGTATGTGGCATCGTCTTGATTTATTTCATTTTGCACTCAAAGTGGTGAATAAAATTAAGTAATCAGTTGACTTAAACTTTTATACGCTCAAGCGTGAAAGTTTAACGTCATTCTAACTTGAAAGTTATAAAATATATTCGTTTGATGGAATTATTGAAACTATTGAATACATTCTTAATTCACATTCATATGTGGATATTTATTAATTTTGTATTGCATCGATTTTGTTATAATCATGAACATAAATTCGGCCCATAGAGGGTTAAGATTGCAATTGAATGAACTAACGTCGACGTGAACCTCAAAGTGAGAAACCAAGAGCACTTCGGACCGCAAAGGGTTAAAATCCCCATCTTCCCAAACTCATCGCTCCAGCTGCCTAACCCTATGCACCAATCCATCACTCCAACTCACGAAACACGGATACTCCGTCCAAACCATCAGCAACGCCCGAACGAAACGGAACACCCCGTACATCCCGGGGACATGGGACCCGCAACCGTGACGGGGGCCGGGATGAACAAGAAAAAAGAACGGGTAGCGAAGGGAGTCGGACTCGGTCGGAGAGGCAGAAAAAGTGGAAGCCTCACGGCTTGACCTTGGCTCGGAGTTCCGCATTGCGCGCTCGCTCGTTCCCGCGGGAAGGGCCCGGCGAGCAGCGTCGCGGGCCGCGGGGGCCCGGCCGGAATAAGGGCGAGCATCGGGGCCCCGGCTGGCCGCTGCGCCGCTCCGCGCCGCGGCAGCTTTTCCCGCGCGCACGGAGCTCTGCCTCGGCCTTCAACTTGACCGCTCGACGAGCCAAGCGCCCTTCTCCTTCGCGCGGCGAACGCAGCGCGCCGTGACCGCTCCGAGATACGCGCTCGCGCGTTCATACTACAATTTTAGAAGCCGGGGTCCTTGACACCTTCGCCCAAGACAACTGGCAGCCATTGACAGCCTCGAACGTTGCTCCCCCGTCCATTGATTTGCGCCGCTCGTACGCGCTGCTTGGCAACTAGCTCCCCCGGCCAGATGAAACCTTTCTAATCACCGGTGGATCGTCGTTCTTGACCAATCCCCGGTTTTTCGGTGACACGCCAAGTGTGACGAGAATTCACAGAGTTCCGTGGGATTCTATCGATTCGCTCCGAAGGATTTGCCCTCGGCAAATGGTGTTTGGTGAACGAGACTTTAGAGGATCGACCCTTTGCACGAGAGAGCAATATTGGATGTATTGTCATGGGATGTGGATGTTTGTAGATTTAGTTATATGGAAATTAATGTGCAAGGATGGTTCAGTTTGATACTTTATGTTGCGTTTAAGGAGCAGTGTTGATTATCGTGTCCTAGATCTTAGCTCTAATTTCGAGGATCCATATGAAGCATTTATGTTTTTAGGAACGGTGAAGAATTTGATAAACTTCTTTGAATCTGATGTTATTAAAGAATACAATCGCAGGAATGTAATTGAAGGAAGTGTCAAATGTGTGTAGAATTATTCGAATTCTAGGATTTTCTTGTTTCAAATAGAGTTTCCTTTCGTTCGCTTTTGTCTCCAAAAATTTGTTGCCTGTAACTGAGGTGAAGCACGATAAGAACGATAATTTGTTCACGTGTCCCACCTGTGTATACGGGGTGATTCATTTATTACAGCCCGGCGACCTTGAGCCACTCACAGACTGTCAAACGTATGAAAAAGTTGCTCGAACGACAATCGTCTGGTATCAAAGGGGTCGCGGTAATCACCCGTTTGCAATTTTGTCGTTCCTCGAGCGTCGCGTTCGAGTTAAACCGAGCGTGGAACAATATGGAAACCACGCTCCGAGCGATCATTTCGAATTCAAACCTCGGATCTTCCTCATTGGGATTCTTGACATTGGCCCGAGCGGTACCGTGACTGTCGAAAGTAGTACCAACCCGCTTTGACATTGTCCTTCTGAACAGCGATTGCGTAACGAAGAATTTGTCAGAATTTTCTGCTGCGTTACGAAACACAGGTGTCACTTATCACTTCGCTAAGTAGTGACCTTGGAAAGTCATCTTCGACCTTTAACGTATAATTAAATAAAAAATGTCTTATCGACACATTAGACTAAGTAAAAAAATATATAACCATTAAGCAAATCAGAAACTATTTTTTATTATATCAACTAGCAACACGTTCTTTTAATCGTTATGCTCATTATATATTACATATCATACAAATATTATATAAGTAAATAATGAACGTTCAATTTAAAATTTTAATTTAACCCTCTATGGGCCGAATTTTGTTTCGTGATTATAACAAAATTTATGCAGTACGAAATTAATAGATATCCACATACGAACACAAATTAACAATGTATTCAATAGTTCCAACAATTTTATTGAAACGAATATATTTTGTAACTTTGAAATTACAATAACGTTGAACGTAAACGCCTATGTGTACAAAAGTTTAAGCTGCTTAATTATTTAATGTCGTTAGTCATTTTGCAATAAAAAATTAAATACATCAATTTAACACGGTATATTGATGTGTGACTTCAAAGTCACACGAGCCTATAGAGGGTTAATTTCAATTTCTACGAGTTGCTCCATAAAGTAAACTCCTTTGGAACACCGACGTTTCGGCGATCAACATTCCGAGTACGGTGTGCAAAGCAAACAATGAACATTGCGTTTCTCAATTCGCAGGCCCTTGGCCAGGACGTTTTATTGGGGACCAAGGAAGAAGAATGGGGCAACGTGCTCTGTGTCCGAGACAAATCCTCGCTGGGAGTGGTGCTGAGGGACCGTTTGATGACGGACGCGGCCCTCGGTGGTCCAAGACTGATAAAATCGGAACACAGTTACAGCCTCTTGGCGTCCAGCCCTCCGCCGAGTCCAGCGACCCCTGGTGCCAATCCCCACACACCAAATTCCGGGTCGTCCGGCGACACGGTCGCCGCGTCCCTCTCAAATACCAGTTCCTCCATTGACTCCAGCAATCTGGATCATCATAAATCATTGGACATTCGCAGCAGAATCGACGGTAAGTACGCGAACGTCGTACACACTCGAAATACGAAAGTTTCATTTGAAATTATTCCATTAACGACGAAAGAGAATATTGCATGAATTAATTAAAACGGTCGCTCGTTAGCGTAACTCATTTCTTAATAAGACAGTTTATTAGATTAGTTACTTTAGCGATACATTCTAACATGTTGAAGTGCATGCACTTCAGAAAATTCAGTTACCCTGTATGCACGTGAATGTTTACTGTTATCACCGTAAGCGGAAGATTATCCTACCATTTTCTACGATGAGAGCAAAGAAAGTATAGTCGATCAAGGTCATTTCCCCTTCCACGCGCGTCAGTGGGCGGAGAAAGAGTCTAGAGAGAGTGGTGGGGGGATATCGCACAGAAAGAGTTCACTAACCTCAAAGCAAAAACTTCTTCAGTTACTCATATTAGACCTTCAGCCTCTTCTTCTATTTTTGTGCTTCGTTCTTTTGTAACAATGAAAATTTGAATTTTGTATATGCTACGTTGTTTTGTAAAATATAAGAACTCGAATTTCTAGTTAGAGAACAGTCTATAATGAGGGAGAAATGTCATTGTTATCCTGGAAAAGGTCACCGTGTCAGCACCTGTAATGGCGACGTGTAACATTACAGAATGCAGGGAGAAGATAATGCTTCTGTTTTCCGGAGAATAACGTAACAACATGACATATTTTTACGATCAGTACCGCCTGATCTAGTAAAGCGAAACGTCGTTGATCCATTAAGCGCCGAAGACGACACCGCACCGTCTGGATCGCGGCGTATCAGAAGCACATAATGATTGGATCTGATTACCGTTGCCCCGCGATTTCTTCGGCGAGAACCCCGGCGAACGTTGTCGTTTTATATACACCGTTGCTCGAAAACCTGGAAACCGGGTCTCCGAACCGATCGACCGTTCATTTCGAATTTAACGCGGCGTTCACCTCGATTCTGCTAATTATAGACACTTATGTAAATCAACGATTATTTTTTCGGAAGCATCTCGATGTAAATTATCACGACAAGAACGATGTTCGAGTTATTAAGAAAATCGTTAAGTAAATAATGAGATACAGATTCAATTAAACGGTGGTTTACATGGGCGAGGATGCTACGATGCTAGGATTCTTATGCAAATACGATTGTTTAGACAGCAATTCACTGATAGTCGAATCTCGTAAAACTTTCGTCCCATTTTTATCGAGAAGGAGATTTCATAAAAATCGTGTTGACTGATATCCGAACTGTCTAAGACTATAAATAAAACGAAATTGACTCATTCTGTTCATTTATTTTATTTTAACATACCTTAACACTAGAACTACGGATCAAAATGACCCATTCCAGATTTCTTCTTTTCGCGATTATCAAAAAAATAGATGCTTCTCTGGGAGGTATTAAAGAAATTGATTTGGCAACATGCAGATTGAATAATGAATCAATTAAAGTCTCAATAGACATACTCTCGATGTTTCTATAAAGAAGTTTCAAAAAATCAATTTTAATGCTCAGTAGTTCTAGCGTTGAAGTTTTTTTATATATTGTATTACGTGACAGATTATATTTTATAGGTTGAATGTTTTTAAGCTTTGGATGCCCCGTGATTGGATATTACCGAAGAATAGCAATAAAAAGAAATGATGATGGTTTCAGACATGGAAGAGGAGTGTTTCCCGGTAATCTCGATGAACGCGACCTCGGGACGCGGCGAGATGTCGTCGTCATCGTCGCCGTCATCGACGTTGCCGGCGTCGTCTACCTCAACCATTATCCTAAGGAGAACCAACAATCTAGTACCTGAAGACGTGGAATGCGTTGAGATCAAAGGGGAACCGCTCAGCGCGCCCAGTAGTCCCTCGGAATCCTGTCAGACGACGATAGTCGACGACAAGAGCACGATAACCATGGTGTTCCCCCAGAGCCTTCACTTCTCCAAGAACCATCTGTCGCAGACCAGCGACAGCGAGGAGGACGATGAAGAATATTATCAGGTAGCTATCGATTTTTCATTTTTCTCGTATCGACTACGATACTTCTTAATCGTCCTGTATAACCCTCGATTCATCAAAATTTGATGGCCGAACTAATACCTAGGCGGACTATAATTTCAACGATGAAGAATATTATCAGGCGGCTATCGGTTTATCTCTTTTTCGTCGGCCAACATATTTTTGAATCTTCCTGTATCACCTCTGATTCATCAAAATTTGATAATACTATCGCGAAGACTGTAATCTGGACGATGAAGGATACTGTCAGGTAGTCATTGATTCTTTATCTTTCTCGTACGATATTTTTTAATCATCCTGTATCACCTTCGATTCATCAAGTTTGATGGGAAAACTATTACCTATGGGGACTATAATTTAGACGACGAAGAATATTATTAGGAAACCGTTTCCCCTTTTTTCAACTGTATTTTTGGGTCGCTCTGTATCGCCTGCGATTCGTATATCTTGATGCGAAGAGTGCTATAAAGACTAGTTTAGCTAACCGAGGTTGAGACCTCAACGCGCATACGCAAATCACGTGATCCGTGAGAAAAGCTCCTCCCCCAATGTGACTGAATTTTACTGTCGGTTAATTATAGTTGGCTACATTTGAAACCTCTAACAAGGAAGTATTTCCACTGCAGCAGGATGGTTTTTATTATAGAATTGTATCGAAGAAGTGTGAGATACGGGGTTAGAAATTTTCGGTTGATGTTGAGTACAGTTAATTGGAACCTCTTAGAATAACAAGCGTTTCAGAGACAGTGAAATCACTGTCTTCCAAGATCCCATCAGAGGCTATATTTAGAGCTCTGTTAACTAGCTGTGATATGCAAAGTACAACCATGTGAACTTCTTAAAGTCAACAGACAGCACAGTAAAGTCATCGGGTGGGGACAGTTTATGTTTCGACATAGGCGTAGCCTATCTTTCGATCTCCCTTCACTGACAGTGTCAAACCATTGTAAATTCACCATCCGAAATTGAGTATTCAATTTTATTCGTCAACATTATTAATCCTCTGCACTCCGTTGGCTCTGCTGTAGACAATTTGCATCGCAGATGTCATATGATTAACTTAAAATTGTAAAATTTTTCACTTTCTATTTACTCGAACAAAGCGAATTGTCAACAGAAATTAAAATACGCGAATCCATGAATATGATTTTTCTATTTCGAAACGAAATTGTGGTTCTTGAAAGTGTCGCTATAGAATGACCAATTAACGTATTGAAAATGTGAGTGCAAGGGGTTAAATAGCCCCGAGTAAGCTAGAAGCAGTTAACCCATTCACTGCCAGTCACGAATATACTAGCAAGAGATTGCCAGTTTGGTACAATTTTGGTTGTATTTGAAATGTATCGTAATATAAAGCAAAATAAATTGAAAGTACAAATGAAATCACACATTTTATGCTAGCAGTGAATGGGTTACTACAAAATTTGTCATTGTTATAAAAGAATAAGGAATATTGTATAGAATGCCTAAAATTCTCATGGAACGTGTTAAATCAACGACTCGCGCGCGTAACGTTGAAGAGCGGACTCGTACTGTTTCGGGACTCGCGAGCTGCAACTCCATTAATCCTTCAATCTCTCGATCATTTTATCTCTCTGCCCACAGGGTATGGAAGTAGAAGATTACAACGGCGAGGCTTGCACCGACAAAGAAACGAATTCGCGCTCGTCGAGGCAGGGCCTGCCGCCGACGCCTCCCAGCAGCGCAAGCTCCGACAGCGAGGGTACTGCTTCCGCTTCCTGCTCGCCGGAACGCCGGGATTCCCAGAGCTCGACGCACGCACAGAATCTCAGAGGCCTGCTGACGCCCAGGCTGTACGTGACGAACACCACGCACACAACCAGACAGCCGATCCACACGCCGTTGATTTCCTGCCAGCCGGTGAGCATACCGCGAAAGAAGATGACCGTGGCGGGCCGCTGGCCGATCGTCTCCGCGCGCCGTAACGTAACGCGAAATCGAATTTGCAGAAGGGTTCGACGGGCGTTCTCACGCTGACCGACGAGGAGAAGAGGACGCTCATCGCTGAAGGCTATCCCGTGCCCACGAAGCTGCCGCTGACCAAACAGGAGGAGAAATCGCTGAAGAAGGTGCGGAGGAAAATTAAGAACAAGGTGAGCTTTCGTTGGTTTCCCGAGTAGCCTTCCAGGAGTTTTCAATTAGGTTATTGGAATGAAAGGCTGCAATGTTTGCCACTGAGAATTTGTTATAGGAAATGTTTATAATTGAATATGTAGCAGTAGGTTTTGAGAATTCTGTTAGTATGAAGGTAGTGATTGGGTGTTATGTGAAGAAACTGTGGTAACGTTGTTCGTTAGGAGTTTAGTAAATTATAGCGAGTTTTTGAATTTATTATCTAACTGGCAAGAATAAAGACTCAAATTCAGATTAGTTCAGGCTCTAAATAGCTTCGAAGCTACTTGTAAACCGTCACCGTTCTCTTCGAATTACAGATCTCCGCGCAGGAGTCCCGGCGAAAGAAGAAAGAGTACATGGACGGCCTAGAGCGACGAGTCACCTTACTGTCGAACGAGAATTCCTCGTACAGGGACCGACTGAACGCGCTGGAGGACCAGAACCGCGAGCTGCTGAAGGAGCTGCAGCGTCTGCAAGCCCTGCTGCAGCTGCAGAACTCTTAGACCCTGTCCCAGGTCCCGTCAAAGTAATCTTGTCACGTGTATCGAGGACTTCGAGCATCATGGGTCCAAAAGGCCGATCGATTCACTGTCACCGAGGTCCTCCAACCTTCAAGACTGGCGACCGGGTCCCTTCAGCAGTGTTCTTGATCGAACGTCGAACTGGGACTGCGCTAATTGGGCCGATAACCCCGTCGACTTGGGCAGTTCATCGGAGAGAAAAGAGGATGGTCGATCCTTCGTCTGGTTCATTAGCTTCTAAGTCACTGGAGAAAAGTTGGGAGCCCGTCTCCGGGGAGCTCGTGCAATTCCTTTACATTCCTGTAAAGTCTTCCTTGCGTAGAGGCGGCTCGAGTATTTCGGATCGCTGTCCAACGACCAATTTTTACCTAAGATTAGCTACGGATTCTATGGTTCGTATCGTCTTCCCGGTTCCGTCGTCTGGGGAACCGATGGGGTTCGGTATGCGTTGACCGGGAGTGCCTTCTTTCGCTGGTTCCGTACGTTTCTTCCGACCAGGGAAACGCGCCTCGCCTCCGTTTCATCGCCGGATTTTAACCCCGCCTTATCACGGCGTCTAGATCGTACGAAGCAAGTTGGAGAACAGTGCAGTTGCTGTTTAAACCGCTACCGATTTAGGGTTAGCCGGCCGTTCGAGGCCGCTACCACCACTCCTGTGAGCGTTGACTCGGTGGGCGGAGCCTGAGGCCTTGCTCGACCAATCGTTTTATTCTTATAAAATTCTCTCGTGTATCCATCGAATTTGTTACTATTTCTGAGAACTTTTATGCACCGCAACATGGAGGAAATGGATATTTTGAAAATATAGTCGTCCGTTTTGGACGAGGAAGGAAATATTTTTCTCCGGGTTCTCAGTCGTTAAATAGGGAAATGTAAATCTACGTGAGAATCCAAGGTATAGATATTATTATTCGAGCGCAGATTGATTGATCGACGCAACTGCACGTAACGAGTAATATCCCCTGTTTCTTGGTAGCGTGAGTCGACACGCGATGTTCGATAAACGGGATAGGCGTAGAAATAGAGAGAAACAGGAGACGTTCGATTGCTTCGTTTCAAAGGTAATGAACGAAGGTGTTGATGGGTGAGCGTGAAAGTTTATATTAATCGTCGGAGTATTTAACGATGTTTCCGCGCTGTTTCTCGCGAGTCGATTATTTATGACCGCCGAGGAACCGTTCAATTTCGTCCATGAAATCCGTGCGCTTTCTCGGGTGTTCGCGTGCAGTCTGTTGATACGGAAGCCTGTTTGAATCCCGTGACGTCGTACGTTCAGTGATGTTGCGTGTTTATTATGATTTTACGAGTTCACGAGTCGTTGTCTGTGCGCATGCCCCATCGCGGGCGAGCATTGTGTAATTTCCACGAACTTAAACGTTACTTTAGGGATAATTCACACACACCACACCCACACGAATTTTGTACATTGCATTTCTGTTTTCTTTGGGAACACGAAAGTTCTTTTCCGCGTCGTCCGCGCGCTGCAGGGAGAACTACTTCCATTTAGATTTTAACGATACCGTGCAATGATAATCGCTACTTCGATCTTGTTTCTTTCCCTTTTTCTTTCCCCAAGTAGGAATAATGTTTCTTTTAAACAAAGGATGAGGTGCAATTTTTTCTTTAAAAGTAAGTTGAAAGTGCAAAGTAAATTTTATTCGTTTGAGCCGTCATTCGCGAGAGAAATAACCTCAACGTTGCGTGCAGCGGCGTGGCCCACCAGCCGCCATTTTGTCGGCCACACTTCAAAGTTTTGGGATGATATTTCTCGTAAACGCAGCATGCTATGAAAAAAATTCTTTCTACAAGTTTGGCTTAGTTTTTTTACGAAGAATCAGTTTTTAAAGATGAATTACACTTCACCTTGTTTCGCTGTCGAATTTAGCGATCCACGAATTGATACCAGCACACCTGAATACAAATATCATCGATCACGTTCGCGATCTATTTGAGTTAGAATTGAAAAGAAGAAACAGATTTCCAAAGGCCCAGAATTCTCGGAAAAAGTCGAACTGATCACTGCATCGCAACAAACAATAACTATCTTTATCTTCCATTATTTCTACAAACATAACGCATAACAAATTGTACAGTAAATTCTCATAAAGCCATGCCGTACGTCACGATATGCTCAATATTTAACGTTTATCATTTAAAGAAAGCCACCAAAATTCCTAAAGAATCTCTTTAAAAAAAAAGTTGATCAGTTTGGCTAAAAGGTTCGAACGTTCCGTCGATCACGCGAAAATAAGTCGCGCGTCGTTCCATGATAAGAAATAAGATAAAAGTTCAAAGATATATCGAGGCTAAAGATTGTTTTCAAGTAACTGTAGTTGTAACGCAAGACACAAATTGAGTAGGCGTAAAGTCGAAACGATATTTCGTATCCGAGAACGACGGCGATGACTCCGGTGATCGAGGAACGAATGAACGATCGTAGACGAGACAGAATTTCCGAAAAAATTGGGACCAGTTCGGCCGGATCGCGTTCCCGCGTCTCCTATTCCGTCATTAATCCTCCAAACGCGCGGCTGTCGGGCCGATCATGTTATTCCGGGTTCAAATATCCGTGCGAAGCTCTTCGTGCGACTCGGACGCACCGAGTGGTCACGTGTCTCGGGGGCTTTCCGGGCGTGGCGCGCACGCGGAAAATTTTCCTTCTGCCTTCGGTGATCCCTCGATCGCGGTTGGAAACGGCAATTGGATTGAGCGGGCAGCTACAATCGAGTTACCGAGTTCATCGAGCGCTGAGGTCAATAAAATTCCGGATCAATTAAGAGAGCATCGACAATGCAAATGGATTTAATTAAAAATATACCAGCAACGAATCGATTTAACATTGGAGAACATGTTGCAAACGACGAAAATGTGATTTTCAGATCGAACCAATGGAGAAAGTAATTATTTATAAATTTATTGATTTGGTACATAAGAACGTCAAAGAAAATCGAGTAGATTAATATAGCGTTCGTTCCATTTCAAACTGAGCAAAACGGTGTCTAAAAATAGAATATTGTCGCATTGATCTGATTAAAAAGGTGACTATTAACAAATTGGTAGACTTAGTATATTGGAGTAATACAGAAAATCGGATAGATTAATATGGTTTTCATTCCAAGTGAAAACGAGAGAGTTTCCAGTGAAGAATACATTGTCTTTCGATTGAATTAAAAAGTAATCATTAGCGAATTAATTGGCGTAGCATCGAAACGACGGAGGAAGTGTAACAGATTAATACGGTTTTTGTTCGAATACGGTACGACCGTTTGTCCCAGAGATATTCGATTCTCAAAGGAATCCTGGACAACTATACACTCTACTAGAAATTGTGCCGCACGCGTGTTTATAGTACAACCGAAATATACACGGATTGTGTGCTAGGGATGAAGTCAGAGTAAAATAAACGAGTAGAAAAAAAAACGCTGACTCCGTGACTGTCGGTCGCTTGCGACTATACAAGTATGGGATGCTGCTGCTTCCTCGAATTCCATGCTCCAGATCTGCCTCCATTAAAGCGGAGCTGCTGGAGCGAACGCGTTCACGCGGCCGTGCTCTTAAAGGTGACGCTATTTTCTATGACGTAACAGGCGTCCCACCCTGTAGCTAAACCATACTCGTGCAACGAGACGAATACAGTGCAATGGTCGCACTCCGATGATACGAATACGTGCAATATTTATTAATAAAATTTCAGCTCCTCCCTTATGACGAGTGAAGAAATACTTTCTGAAAGTGAATCTTCCATGGAACTGAAACGATCGTTAATCGTGACAGTTGAAAATATCAGAATGAAAATTTCCTTCTCTTTGCCCCTCTTGTCGGATAATTTTGTTCTTCAATCATTCGATGCATATCGTTTCTAATTATGAGATCGAAATTCTATTCCACAAGGTGTCGTTTCTAAGAATCGCGCGTAGAAAGGTGTCGCATTCAACGCAAGCCGTAACGTCGTCCAATCAATTTCCGCCCGGAAACTCGCG